GTAGTAGTAGTAGTAGTTAAGTAGTACGTAGTAAGAAGTAAGTAGTAAGTAGTAAGTAGTAAGTAGTAAGTAGTAAGTAGTAAGTAGTAAGTAGTTAGTAGTTAGTAGCTAGTAGGTAGTAGGTAGTTGTTAGTAGTGAGAAGTCAGTAGTTGGTAGTTAGCAGTTAGGAGTTAGTTGTCAGTAGTTAGCAGTTGTACTAGTTATGGTGATATGAAGATATGTCTACTAGTAGAACCAGTACTGGTCATAATCATTTCCATCACGTTGACCACAATAAGAGCCACCTTAATCACCAAGGGTATATGTTGTGGTACGGTAGGAAGTACAATGCTAACAGCCTCGGGGCAATCACTAACAAAAAGTGACGATGTGAAGAGCAACGGTATGGCTAACGAAGATTGATGGTGCTACTGTTGATGATATTAGATCCAGGAGCCTGTACTATGGGAATTATGGTATATTCCTTATTATGGGTAATGCAGGATTTATATCATCAACCGTACGAACAATCCAGACTCCTGGCTTGTTCGTGCAACACCAGCAGTGCGGAAAACCGATAACAGTGGTTGGTGTTTAGGGTCTAGGGTTTAGGGTGAACCACGGTCTTGACTGGCGGCTTCATCCAAGATGTCTAGACATGTGGCCTAAGCCTGACTGTCACATTTTTTCTCAGCCTTAGCTTGCGAGAGTTGAGGGGCTTTTGGTTGTGAGCTTGAGGCCATGGGACGTGTGGTTTCATATTTTGGGATGCAGGCTTCAAGCTTCTGGGCCAGTTGTGCTATACGGCTGCTCACGCTTCGAAGTCATAATACACCCCATCCCTCTTTCGCGAAGCCGCGAACGAAAAGTCCTACGCACCGGCAGCCCGAGCCCCAGTGCGAGGCTCTACTCCCGAAGCCCCGAAGCCTACTTGGCGAGTCGAAACCATATCTCCAAGCCCCAAACCAAAAAAGCCCTCCCTGAAACCCTTATTTCAAACTTTCCAAGCACTACAAACGAGCCCGGAGAGCCTTTGACTATTCAAACGGTTTGGGGTTTAGTTAAAGTTTAGGGATAAATCTCGGATGGGTCCTGCACGAGGTAGCGCTCTTCCAAGAGCTCACCCACCTCCGCGACAGAGTTTCGAGTCTTCTACATACGGGTTTAAGCGCGACCCAGAAAGCGCCCATACCGCTCAACTGATGAATACAGCCCTCTATGATTCAAGGTATATATACACACACATCTAGACATATAACTACATATGCATACGACTTGGTTATATCAGAGGTATTCGGGGCTCGGGGGCGAGACTATGGATTTCATACGAAGCCTATAGAAGAGGTGGACAAGTCAGTATTTAAACTGGTGCTGTATTGCGAACACTGTGAACAAGCACCCGTTGACAAAAGGCGGCGCTAGAACATCCATTGGAAGGCAAGGCCTAAAAATACCTTTTCCTTCATGGGGCCTGGCACCGAGGGCCAGAATGACACGAACGCTGAGACTCTAACCCAGACCCGAGGAACCCTCAACCCTAATCCCCTAAACCCTGCGCCATACAGAACCCTTGCAAAACCGTTTAATGTAGAAGCCTTAATGATTAGAAAAGGGTTTTGGGGGCATATTATACTAGAAATATAACTATTCAGGCCCCTACATTAGGCTCCTGCGCGACGCCACAAACACCCTAAACCCTAAACCAACCCTAAACCCCAAACCCTAACATGAAAGCCTTAAGGGTTTAGCGCTATAGGGTTTAGGGTTTGTTTAGCGCTATAGGGTTTAGGGTTTAGGGTATCCCTACGGAACAGCACTATAGGTTTAGGGTTTATGGCTTAGGGTCTGGGGTTTAGGGTATATTGATAACTCCACTTCTGTATTAAACCCTGGAAGACCACAAATCTAGACATCCACATGGAGCTGTTGAAAGGAACAGCAACAACTCAACTTGAAACCGAAGCCCGAAAAATCAGCCTGAAAGGAACTCTTGACTCCCTAAACCCTCAACCCTCAACTCTTTCAGGAATTCAAGAATCCTCAGCCCCTCAACCCTAAACCCTAAACCCTTACAGGAATCCTCAGCCCCTCTATAATAAACCCCAAAACCCTAAACCCTAAACCTAACCCCCAAGAACCCTCGGCCTGTGCACAGTAGTAGCCCTCCTCGTCATCCCAATCCTCGAGAGCAGCTTCAGGAGAACGAGTAGGCGTCGGGTTTTGGGGTTTTGGGGTTGAGGGTTTTGGGGTTTAGGGTTTAGGGGTGTCGGGTTGTGGGGCTTAGGGTTTTGGGGGTTTAGGGTTTTGGGGGTTTAGGGTTTTGGGGTTTAGGGTTTTGGGTTTTAGGGGTTTAGAGACGCAGAGGCAAATCGGGCACGATTGTGTGGTGCGTCGCAGCACGTGTCGACCAGTGTTCCAGGGTTTCCGGATGTTTAGGGGGATAGTGGGCCTATCCTAAACCTGAACTCCAAAGAGACTACCCATGCCAAATTGTCGATGTTTACCGCAAGAAGATATGAATGCCTCTTGCAGTGCAAAGGCAGGCTTACGGGTCAGAGTATACAGAGGAGCTTCATAAACGTGCCACATCAAAGCCCTAACTGGTAGGATCCTTGCCACTGTCACAGGGACCGTTCAGCCGGGGACACTTAGCGCTAAAAAGCCCGACACGTGCCTCTTGTAGTGTAGGGCTAGTGAAGGTGTCAGGGGACGTAGCAAGAAAGGTTCTAGCGTAGCAACATGTCTCATTACTTGTCACTCTGGTTAGGGCACTCAGGACTACTTCCCAAGCAAACCCTGAGGCCAAACGAAAATCACGGGAATCGAGTCGAAAGCAAGGGCGGCATTGCCAGCTGGCATAATGGCATAATGCTGCAGGAGCCTCATAACAGAAATCAGTACCCTCAGGGTTCCTTGACCAATCCAGCCCAAAGCATTCTTGAAAAAAACTAATCACCTAGTCGCTGTAGTACTACCGTTGAGGGTTGACGTTGGGGATGGGCTACAGTAGGGTTTCTAGCATTATCTGTCTTCAGGTACATGCGCACCGCATCGGCGTACATGCAGGGCGGGAGTGAGGCATGAACAGTTCTCGCGTGTCTGGGGTTAGGAGGGCTTGATTTGGGTTTAGGGTTTAGGGTACAGGAATTTAGGGTACTGCAAGTACAAAGTACAGTAGAGACACAAAGCTGCTAGCTTGTCTGTAGAAGGATGACTGAGCTACCCATATTGTATTCCTTCCTCGGGATCAAACCCAACACCGTAAACTCTTCTGTCATCTGAGGCTCTTCTGTGGACGCACCTGTCGTTGCAATGCTCTGCATACGCTGACGTCCGGCCTCCACGCCAGCATATCTAGGGCTTGATGGAGTCCAAGTATGTGTCCCTTTCTTTGGCTCCTTGTCATGATGATCTTTCTGCCTGGGTTCCAGATGAAGGGTTTCGTAGGGTTTAGCGTTTACTGTCTTGTTGTTAACTTGGCGAAACACTTCTCCGTCATGGTCCTAGCTCAACCTGCATAACCTTCCCACGACTGCAGAATCGTCGTATGTGACTGATGACATCTCTGAGGCCGGTTTAGCTGCACCGCGGCGGCAGCTCCACCCATACAACCCAGTCAAGTCAAGAAGTTGCCACAGGATTCAGACCCTAAGCCCTAAACCCTAAACCTTAAATCCAAACCCTAAACCCCAAGGAACCGTGAAAAGCCTTCAAAGGCACCGTCAAAAGCATGCTTGGAGGAAGGTTTGGACCCTACATCCCCCCCTAAACCCTAAACCCTATAAACCCTAAACCCTAAACCCTAGACCCTAAACCCTATAAACCCTAAACCCTAAACCGTACTCGCCCCGAGCGCCGAGGAGATGACGGCCAGGGGGACTGCAACCCAGCAGCGCAGGAGCTGAGATTGCAGCGAACCCTGGGTTTAGGGTAAGGGTTTAGGGTTTAGGGTTTAGGGTTTAGGGTTTAGGGTTTAGGGTTTAGGGTTTAGGGTTTAGGGTTTAGGGTAAGGGTTTAGGGTTTACCCTAGAAAGTTTTGGGTCAAGGATGACTGGAGTCTGCATGTAATTTATCGTAAGGGCATGGGGATATTGATGTTCCAACTCTTTCGCTAGGGTTTGAGTGTAGGAGTTGGGCTGGGACTTAGCGTTTGGGGTTGTTGTTTAGGGTTTTGGGTTTAGGGATTAGGGCTTAGAATCGCTCAACTTGTGTTTCAATGGGCATGCCTTACAGGCTTGAAGGTCTGATCGGGCGAGGCTTAATTTAGGGTTTAGGGTTACTTGGTAAATCGAGGGAGTTGGGAGTTCGGGCATTGGGCCATTTTCCGGATCTTGCTTTTCTGGTTCAGGGCTGCAGGGCTTCAGGTACTTTGGATGAAGTTCCAGACCGGCCCCATCGTGCATTGGTGAAGCAATCGGAACTGTCACTAGTCGAGCAGATCTGTCACAAAACAAAGAAAGGTTCCATCCACCCCTTCATCACATAGCATTGTAAGCTACGGCCTATGAAAGTATAGAGCTTTAAGTCCTCCTTGTTCTTTGCTACAGATTCCGAGCCGATCTTGCAGGCAGAAACCTTCACGTACTCTGCCCGATCCATCAGCCAACTCTCACACTAGCAGCACTGTCGCCTCCCTAGACGACCCATAGATAGGCCCCATAGAAGTTCCTTTTTGGGGTAATATTTAGATTCCTATAGGGTAATCCCCGAAAAGGAACTACTATAGGGCCGATGGGTACCCAACACCTTATCTTGCAAAGGACTTTTTTCAGGTCATCACAAGGAACCCCCACACGTAATTCGGCTTCTTCGGGTCCGGGTACAAGCGCCGTTCTTCCGAGGCAGTCGCGATACTACAAGCCTTTCCTAGCAAACAGACGCAACACTGTGCCCGAGTCCATGAGACCCTCAACCCTAGCCCCAAGCCTGCACTCCGCCCCCAAAAATTGAAACAATCCAGAGCAGAACCCTAAGGGTCCATGCGCCCAAATAGTATATATTCGGCTTTAATGTAGTCCCTATATAGGTACTTTAGGGCTAATGTATATACTATTTAGGTACATGGACCCTTAGGGGAAACGCTGAACCCTAAATCCTTATAGGACCTCTACAGACCCTGAGACCCAGAAGCCTTTAGCCCACCACGGCTGCTTCAAACTCTCAGCTTTGCGTTTGGCGAGGAGATGCGGCGCTATGCGAAGCATGGCCGCCATGAGCTTGGCTTGAAGGCGGACCCCTAAAACGGGTTTAGGGTTTATAGGGTTTAGGGTAGGCCGGAAACCCCAAACCCTGGGTGGCATGTACTGTTTTTCAGAGAATGGGCGTTAGGGTTCGATATTCCTCTATTCTGCCATGGCTTCTATGGGCTTTAGAGGCGGGCTCTCAGTTTAGGGTTCAGGGTAAAGATGGGGTGGATGCTTCAGCGAGGAGATACTTAGGACACTTAGGGTGAATCTCTATCCCAGGCCCTATAGTAGACTATCGATCCTAAACTCCATAATTCCCACACCCCCCAACCCCCCTAACCCCCCGACCCCAAAACCCTAGGCCCTAAACCCTAAACCCTAAAACCCTAAACCCCCAAAAAGAACGCCAAGAGGCCGCCTTCATCCATCGCCTCACTTGCGACTCGAAGCCTCTGAACTGCGCGTCGGCCACGGCCTCCCCAGGTGCCCAGGATCTCTGGAACTGCTTTAAAGGGCGCCCAGGGGTTTAGGGTTTAGGGTTT